AAGCAGGCAGGCAGATTGAGTTGCTGTCAGAATCACAGATTCACTTAGAGACCAGTGTTTCTGCCATCGTCTATCTGAGTCTGCACTGTTTCAGTCCTAAGGGAGGTTCGGCTCTGCTTAAAAGCAGAACTGAAAATCCAAAGATTAGCTAGAAAGCAAGAAATCCAATGATTTCCTGCTTTCTAGCTGATCTAAATCTCGTGGGACAGCAGAACAGCTGATGGTTGGGGAAAAAAAGGAAAAATGACAACTTAGCAGGCTTGTTTACCAGGTAAGGAGTGAGTGGGCAGGGAGAGTTCCTGCAGGCCATGTGGACGCTGCAGCCTTGTGTCCCCGCGCAGCCTGGATTAATTGCTTTGGGGGGGTACTCTGGGGGTGACATTTCTCTGTGGACCACCAAAATTTTCTCGCAGACCACCAGTGGGCCGCGGCTCACTGGTTGGCAACCACTGGTTTAGGAGTCTAGTGGTCCACTTCAGGAAACTATTTATTTCCTATTTATTAATATTTGCTAATTTCAGCATTTACTGTTTCTAGGCCCCATCAGTTTTGATACCCCATTTTGGCATTAGATAAGCTGAAATAGATGATTTACTAATAGCGAATTATTTACATTTTCTTGTGTCCATGCTGACATTTGTTTCAACTTGAATAGCCTTGCATTTTTAATAGCCTTATTATATATTGTAGAATAGATTAGAGAGCCTATTCCAGAAGAGAGAGCTGGAACGCAATTTCATTTGGTCCTCTATATTTTGAGAGAATAGGTATTAGAAGTACATCTAAGATATGAATTTTCATGAGCAACATAGTCTCTTTTGCCACCTTTCAGGACAAAGTTATAAAAATGGACAAAAGGGTTTACTTACAGAAGAAGAAGTATTGCTTTTTTTCTTACCAGATTTAATCTGCTTGTAATGAACCATGACAGAATTATCCAATCATTTGATTAGCCAGTTTATAATTTATTATTTTGCATCAAGTTAGCTTCTTCTGAGGATGTAAATATGTAGATAAATATATGTCAAGGCTAATAATTACATGAAAACATTGTATTTTCATGGCAAGAAGAGGTTTGTATATTGGGTTTTTAGGATATGTATTATTAACTCATGCATAATTCATGAGAAACGATGCACTTTGGCTCAATTCAAAGTGCTAGTGATTACCGAAATAGCCAGATGCATCAGGTATCGCATTGCCAGAACGGAAATGATCTGACTGGTTAGAACATCTAGAAAGGGCCAACTGTCAGTTGTTCTCACAAGACTTATATAAGGCACAGACACACAACTTTTCTTTTCAATAGTTGTCCCTCTATTGCTATTATTAACTGCTCAAGTATCTTGACTGTCATGATTATTTATTTTGGATGTTTTAAAATGGCTTTTTATTGTTTTAAAATGTTTTTTGTTTTAATTGTGGTATATTTTTTGAATTGTAAACCACCCAGAGTCATTGATTGAGATGAATGGCTACAGGGGTGGGATTCAGTTTTTTTAACAACTGGTTCTGTGGGTGTGGCTTAGTTGGTGGGTGTGGCTTGGTGGTCATGTGACTGGGTGGGCATGGCCAACTCGACATCACTCATGTCAAGAGGTGCTTCTTCTTGCCTGGCCTCTCATGCCAGTGGGGATGCTGCAACAGTCATAAATGTGAAAAGTCACTTTTTTCAGTGCCATTGTAACTTTGAATGGTCACTTGTAACTTTAAATGAACTGCTGTAAATCAAGGATTACCTGTACAAAAATACAAAAAGCTTCTTTGTTTGCAAAAAGCTGCCCTAAATACCAATCATTAAATTAAAAATACCTGCAAGCTGGAGTTACAAATCAGGCCGGGTGTCAGAGCACCTTGAGGAATGAAAATATTTAAAATGCAGTGATAACTACCAGCAGCTAACTCTTGCTCATAAAGTGAAACCTTTTAGCAGAGAGGTCATTTAAGCTCTCCAGAAAAAGCACACCCAGGAAAAACAATCCTTAGATCCATTTGAACACTTAAAAATACCAGCTGGTCTCACTCATCCCACAAGATATCCTAAGGAAATCACCCAGATTTAAGGAAAGGTCACATGCCCCCCAAAAGACAATAAAAAAAAATCAGTGCCAAGCTTGCATCCTGCCACTAGGAAGTATACCCCAAAAGGACAGTTCCAGATAGTATTAAAGCAGTGAAGGAAGACCCCCTCCCCAAATAGAAAAAGAAACAATGAGGCAATGAAAAATTCAAACACAATACAAATAATTAAATCACAACAGTAGCTGTTGCTTGTTGTGGCTGAACAGGAAAAATTATCCCATCAATTAACACATGATTGAACTACATTAAGCACAGAATTAACCTTCACCAAAAATCAGTTTCAGACCAAAACTCAGAAAGAGTATGTAAACTCACGTTTGAATGTTAATCCTTCTAGCTAGCCAAGAAGCCTTGCTGAATGTCACTCATCTTGGTTCCCTGTCACTAAAAGCTCAGCTTCATTATTCAATTATTTCTTCAAAGTGCTGATTGTCCAGGGAAGTATTTCCTCTCAACAGCAGTGTAAAAATCTTAAATCAACCCTTCCCCTTTAAGAAAGCTTCAGAAGCTCTGGAGACAGAAAGTCTAGGCTGTCTGCCAAGAATATAATAAGGGTGGAAAAATACAAAAGGAGATTGCTTCTAACTTCCGAACTGCTTAGAAAGTTAACAAGGGGTTCTATAGAACCGTATAGAACCGGTAGAATGCCACCCCTGAATAGCTATAGAAACTGAATAAATATGCTGTCTCTCTCTCTCTCTCTCTCCCCCTCCCTCCCTCTCCTTCTCTCTCACAGTCACAAACACACCATGTATATTCATAAATAACAACAAGTTATCCAAAAGGGAATTAAGAATTATAATGTCTTGCAGACTCCTGTCAAGCCTGAGAAAAATGTACTACAATACTGACAATGTGTTTACCCCAAAGCCAATGGTTAATGCTGAGCCTGAGCTATTTACATTGTGAACATAACATAAAAATAATATCATCCCTAGATTACAAAAGTAACTATGAATTTGAGACAGCAACTATGCTATACTTCAGAATTATATAAGTCATTTTAACCTTAAGAGAAGTTAAAAATGCTTTAAAGAAAGAAAAAATAAATTGAGCCAGTCACATTTATTTATAGACCTTTTTTCCCCCAATCACTTCACTTCACCAAGTGAAGAACTTAGTCACTTATGATATGATTGTGGCTGTAACCATGGTGAACTCTGTCACATTAATAGTACTAGCTGAGAATAAACGATTAGCAAACACAATAGAGTATGGAACCCAAAATGATGCATTAGAGGCCAATCTTTGTGAAAGGATTACAAGTGCATCTTGATCTCCCATTTTTTCTGCAGATAAATGACTTAAATGCTTCTCTTTATCCTCCAAATATGCTAGGTAAACAAAGCATTCATAAACTCAATTTTTAATAGTGAGCTGTTCTTTGGATATGTTCTTTAGGCAGAAGAAAAAGATGGTATCTCTACATCCATTTTATCTACTTTTCATTTCCCAGAAAAAAAGAGATAATGTGTGAATTGAGCTGTACTGTTTTATTGATTTCATTAGGGTGTTATCATTATTTTTTCTTATATTGTCTGGGCTTGCATTGGATCCAGTCTATGAAATTTTAGGGCATGCAAGAAGACTCACATTTTCTTTCTCACTTATGTATACACAAGGCACTATTAAAGATGGCATTGGAAGTCATATAAATCATTGTATATTGTATATACAATGTACATTGTATATATCATTTGAGAAAATTTACCTTAATTTAAATATTTATGCTTGTAATATTTAATATTAAATATATTAAATTTAATATTAAATACTAAATATGTTGATGTTTGTAATATTTAACTGTATATCTAGCCAATTTACTTTATTCCACAAAGGCAATGAGATTGAAAGCAAGGCAAGTTAGAAAGTTATTCTATGTAAAACAACAGACTCAAAGATAATACCCAAACCTGAAATGTTCCTACTAGGGATAACTAGAGATGAATATACTAAAGATATCAAATACTTAATAATAATAATAATAATAATAATAATAATAATAATAATAATAATAATTATATATATATATATATATTAACAGGGGCTAGAATATTATATGCTAAAAACTGGAAATTAGATAGTAACCCCACAGATGATAGGATCATAAAGAAAGTAATGATTGAACAGAAATGAACAAGCTCACAATGGAATTGCAGGAGAGGGAAGAAAAAGAATACTGTACGGTCTGGTTAGACAATAGAAAG